CAGGCTCTCGAGCCACTCTCGAGTAATTATTGGAAAAGACTCAAAAGAGCCTATTGATTGGCTCTCTGTTCCAAGCCTGTGGCCAGACTCTCAAGCTTCTCTCGAGTAATTATTGAAGAAAAAAACCTATTGATTGGTTTGCTGTTCCGAGCCTGTGGTCAGGCTCTCGAGCCACTTTCGAGTAATTATTGGAAAAGAGTCATTGACTAGTTTGCTGTTCCGAGCCCGGCCAAACTGATCCCAGATCTAGGAAACAACAAATATCCGGTTGAATCCTAATTCCCTTCTCTTCCTCTCGGGACACGAAGAATGGTGTCTAACAACAGACTTCAAAAGGAAGCGTGACAGACGGGCAGAAACACCCATCACCCCGCTGGTCGCTGAGGACCTCGGAAGCGGGCGCAGCGAGTGACAGGCGCTGTTGCCCTTGGCTTCAGCGAATGATGGACGACCCCTCCCCGGGTTTGCTCACAACTTTGGCGTCATTGCCGGGGAGGGGAGCAACACCCCCAAGGCCGCGGCCTTCCCCAACCAACGGCGGTGCACGGGCTGATTAGTCAAACACTAATTAACTTGTTTTATTGATTAGTTTTATTTTTTATAATCATTTTATTTACTTTTTTTGAAATATCTCCCGATCCGCGCGCTTTCGTGCGAGCCGCGTCGGAGCAAAGTTCGCCCTCTCATCGAGGCAAACGTTTTGAGACTTTTTTTGAAAAATTCTAACGGCTAAAAAAAAAGATATGGAATTTTTTGTATTTTTCTAATTAAAAATTCCAAAAATCACGAGTTAAAAATTCTAATTGGTTTTTCCTCGATATCTGATGATCCCCGCGCTTTCGTACGAGGCGTACCGAGAGCAAAGTTCGTCCTCTCGTCGAGGCGAACGTTTTGAGATATTTTTTGATAAATTCGAACGGCTAAAAAGCGAGATATGGAATGTTTTGTATTTTTTAATTAAAATTTTCAAAAATTTTGATTTTCGTTTTATTGAAATGGTCGGGAAAATAAGCGAAATTAGGGGAACCCCGCCAGACCAAAGTTGGTCCCTGTATTTTTCCCGACATTTTGAGACCCTAGTCGGGGAAAACGGACTTCGTTTGGACAAACGGCGAGCTCCAACAGATAGAAAAGGTGGAAGAAAATCAACGGGAAATTGATTTTTTTTGTAATTTTGTTTAAATTAAGAGAAAAAGGAATTTAAAAATGTAATCCAATAAATTTTTCTTCTAAAACTAGTGAAAGCTAACAAAAATTTTCTCGCGTCGAGCAGGGCTTTGCGGTGTTCGGGCGTTTGCGCGCAAAACCCAAAACCCTAATTAGGGTGAAGTCCCAACCCCAATTTTGAGAGAAGCGGGTAGATAGAGGGAATCCATAGCTTCTAGCTTCCGCATTTGTTACGGATTATTTTTTGTCAAATATATTCCGTAAGATTGTGGAAATTAATTCGGGAAGTTTTGCCCCATTAAATAATTAAAAATTATTTTACTTTTGATTTTGTTATTTAAAATCGTTAAAAAATTGAAATAAATATTAAAAATTGCGTAGGAGCATTTGTTTGACTTCAATGCTCTTCATATCTACTTTACCTATTTGAGGGACTTTTTTCCGAACCCCATCTCACCGGGGGGGAAGGAAAA